GAAATTGTATTAAAGCCTAACATAGCAAATCAATAAAAATCAAATAATCATGATTTGATCTATTACATTTTACAATTCAATTTGAAAAATGAGTATATAATTATAATAACAAAAAACATTCAACAATAAAATGTACAGCACACGAAGCTCGAACCAATTCGATTACAATAAAAAGAAATATTATAATACAAATAAATACATAAAAAAAATTTTAATTTTAAATTAATAAGAAGGGTATCGGGAAAAAATGTTTTTTTTAATTTCTTGTACCTACATAAAAATGTTCTAATGTTAAATTATTTAAATTGTCTTTTAGTTTATACGTAAATGGATCTGTATTTAAAACTTTAGAAATAGTGGAAACTTCTGTTGTCCAGTTTGGTGTATAAAATGTACTAAAATTATGTTTATACTTTGATATTCTTACTTTATCAATTTATCATTAAACATGTTATAAAAAAAAACATAAAAACAAATTATATGTTAAATGGTTATGTTTTGACAATAGTCATAATTCGTAGGTAAATTTAAACGACACTTTAAAATAGCTAATAAGTGCATTTTTAATAAAACGAAATGTATCAATCAATACCTATTGTTCAGATTTTATAAACCATCTCATCATTACAATGTACGGTATTGATTCAATTTTTATGATAAATTGATTAATTTTATTTCAATTAAATCGTAAACGTTTTTAATAACTGTTTACTAAATGTTGAATATTATACTTCATAATTGTATTAATTCTAATAGACGTTTAACCACTAAGCCTCTAGCATTTTTCCAATCCTTATACAACTTTACGTTGCAGTTATCACGTTTTAAAATACAGCAAAATCTATATAAATCAAAATACAGTTCCCTGAGATTTTCAATATCGATTTCCATCAGATTTGGTATTTTAGGTTTGGATCGGATATTTGGATGATAATAAATGATAATAAAAATGAATTAATGTTTTGTTATATTATTTGTGTGTTTTTTTTTATCATTTCAAAATTCATATTTAACCAATTAACTATACGGCATAAGCTGTATAACAATTTTTTTCCAGAATGCACAAACCTATACTTTATGAAAACCAAATATCCGATCCAAACCTAAAATACTAAATCTGATGGAAATCGATATTGAAAATCTCAGGGAACTGTATTTTGATTAAATTAAGATAAGGTGTAGATACTAATCAATAATTTTTTTTAAGTACCTATTATTGCTACCCAAAACTGTTAAAAATTATTTTTTTTATCATTACATTTGTATAGACCAAAAAATAAATGATATCAATAGAATCAACATTCTAAAAAAAGTATATATACATATAAGACGTAATACTAATGTACCTTTTGTCAATTCAGTTTTTATGGCCTACAACACTTTTACAATCAAAGTTAATTTTAATGTGTCATTATAACTATTATTAATAATAACAATTAATATCAACTATATACATTATTCATAGGTACCGTACAATATAAACGTTTCTATTTACATGTAACGCCAATTAAAATTATAATTACCAGACCAGCAATTATTAAGCTTCAATTTCATGGGTGGACAATTTTATCAAGAATATGTATTCTAACAAGGTTTCTACATCATATATAATATATTGTAGTAGATGGTACACTATAATACGCCTTTCAATATTGTTTGAATTTCAATTAAATTATAATGAACACATTTGACTGAATACTTTGATTGTACCTATATAATATAGTATAGGTACCACCTATATATAGGTATATCGCATGACTTACACTAATTTATTTATACTAGTAGCTAGACCCCTTAAATATAGGTACATGTAAAATGTCTAAAAAACAAAACTATTCAGAATGTTTAAATTCTAACGTTGAATGACCATCGAATTATGTTACTTTAAAAGAACAAACAAACCGTGCCATTTCTTATGTTGATGCGCTTCAAATTATACAAACTCGATAAATAATATATCAAAATTTTAAGCGCTCATCAACACTTCTAAAAGATTAAATGAATAATTATTATGATGACATTGACAAAGAATATCGTAACCATAATGCTTTTAACGAAACACAATAAGTTCTCGACCTTTGAGTAATTTTAACGAAATTATTTTGAGCGAATATGTTAATCATTTGAGCAGACACAAGTGCGTTCTCTCTCTGCGCAAACTTAGCAGACACCAGTCAGTGGATTCAATTCTATTAAAGTGCACTACGTCTCAAATCGCAATTTCGGCACGATTACAACCAACCCTCTACCGAATTTCACCCTATTATCTTCAATAATATTTCATAAGTAAATCGGTAAATACAGATATATAATAGGCGTCGACCGTTTTTCGTAAAAGCTTAAATTTTATTTTTATTAAAAAAATGTGATACCTACGTGTTAATTTATCGACATAGTAATACCATAGATGTCGATATAACGATACCTACCTCGATTACGTATAACTATATCTATATATTATATTTCATATCAATAATATAACTTTTTTAAGTAATGGAATGGTTCGACGTCCAACGGCGTTAATAAATTATATAAATACTATTTTACTGATTTCTGTAAATATTATAATATTAATTTCGGGCCGAGTTTAAATGTATGTGTATGGTAAAAAGTTAATCTAAATTCGAGAATAATATTTTAAATACAATTTCATTAATGGGATTAATATAATGTTATTTGATTCGTATGGAATTGCGATGGTTACGTTGATGTAATATAGCTTAAGCCCGTAAAGCATATTATTATAGCCATTGTTACCTGACTACTATACTGTTTTTTAATAGTCGCACTATTATTCCAAAATCCGTTAAATATAAGTTAGGTTGAAAATATTATTACGAAACATATAGTTTGACTTCTAAAGGCAAATGCGTATGATATAAAATATATATATCAAAATATTACTGTGCCACAACTGTGTCCGAGTTTTTAATATTGAATAGTCGTGGCCTTTTGATACGCAATATTAAAAAGAATAAGTTTGTCTGAAATCTATATCTGAACCCAAATTCATTAGCTCAACAAAATGTTAAAAACATTTTGGAGTCACGCAATGCCAGAAGTATATCGCTTTCAATGAATGTCACTTATGATAGGACATATTTCTTCAGAAAACCAATAAATATAAAATAATTTAATTAAGTCTTTAGTATTTCGAACACGTCAAGTTAGTTGTCTACGAAGGAATATTCTTAAATATGAGATGGCTGGATAGAAAGGTTGAAATCATAATGAACAACATATTTTTTTTATCCATTTTTGAATCCAAAGTATTGACACGTAATTTACGAGCTATAAAGTTTATATAAAAACATAAAAGTGATGAATAACAATTTTTAAATAATTTAAATATTAACATTTTACAGCAATACCTATATATTCTATACTTATCATTAGCAAATAAAAAAAATTAATATCAGCTTTTAACATTTAAACTAGTTTGAAGTTTGGGACAATTTGTTTATGCATATAAAACAATGTTCTTTTTCTCTGATCTTTTTGTTCTTATATGCCAAATTATTATTTTATTAATTTATTTTTAAATTTTTAAAATTATTAAACTGCATAGTCTTAATTTACAAAGGGTTTAGGATAGCTTTTTATTCCAAGTAGAAGAATAATTAAACTAAACATCACAATATAAGAAAAGATTGTTTTCAAAGAAATAGGAATTTTAATTTTAGAATATTTTCTCTCAACTTAATAACTTATAACTATAAAGAATTATTTAATACCTAATGAAACAGGGGTCGAGTATTTTGTTCACCCAAATAATAAATTTAACAAAATATAAGAGGGTGCAATAATAAGTGTGAATTTGTTGCTGGCGTTAATATACAGTTCTGCCAATTGAGTACCATGCAAAAATGTATACCAGCTATCATTTAAAGTACCTACGCTGATTTACTTGTTTTATTTTTCAGATATACAGAGTAATAATAAACTAAACTTGGTTCTCGTAAAATGTTTACTATTTTATTCAAAACGTTTTATCTTCATAATTAGTATTAACCATTTAATACCGCACTAAAACATTAAAAAATATTACATATTATATAAGTATTATTACAATATAATATATTATACAATTATATTATATCAATATATTATGATACAATATAGGTAATATACTAATATGTATACCACATATTTATTAAACATTAAATTACACATACTTACATGCACATAAATATAAATTTTAAATGTATAAGGTATAACTGCTGACTAGTTATGTCAAAAATAATATAATAATTAACTAATTAGAAATTACCTAATAATTAGCATAATCTATTTGGATATTTACTTTACAGCATCATTTTAAAGCAAGACTTTATGTAAATCTATGTATATATTCTCATAATGTGTACCTACCAATACAATCTATTTTAAGTGATATTTACATCAATGGCATGACTTCAGACTTAGAAAATTTAACTATATTATAGCAGATACTAGATACCATAAGTCATTAACAGATAATTTAAAAAAAAAAAAAAATACATTTTACATAAATAAATATTTTGTCGAACTAAGCCTCTATAAGCCCCTTACATATTATTATTATGGCGGACCAGGGTCTCAGCACTATCCATAAACTTTTAAATCTTTTCAATGTAGCGTAGAATGTACATCTGTTCTATGTAGTCCAACAGTATCAATCAAATTCTATAAACAAGTACATATTTGGTTGTTAAGGTTAGGTTAAATTATGGTTGTTAATAATGACAGTGGAAAATTATTTCATTTATTTATTTGGTTAAATTAGATACCTATAAATAAATAATAATAATAATAGGTAGTACCGTTTACTGTACTACATGGAAAAAGACACAAAGTGGTCAAGCCGAAAATTAGGGAATGTTCTTTTATTGATAACGGACGATGCATATTAACAAAGATTAAGTATAATAATATATTATTTATTAAAATTATACCCTGTTTCAGGATTCCTAGTGCGATGGTGGTTTGAATAATGTATCAGTCGTACTGCATTTTTGAGTATGCTGTTTGAAGAAACTTTAAGAAACAACACCTTCTATAGCGACAACATTAGGTAAAAACAATTGTATTATACATTATTTAAATATGTCAGTAGGTACATAACTACATAACTATAGTTCAAACTTCAAATAATGCGAGAGGATGAAAACAAATGCGTGCACATAGTGGAATACGATGATATTTATAGATTGAAAAAAAAAGGTATTGTTTTTAATATTCACATAGGTAGGTATTGAATATATAATTGCGAATCTTTAAATTAAATTTAACATGTACGTATCTATATTTTATATTAAAAATAAGAATGTAATTGATAAAAATTATTTAATTTTCATCTATATGCGTTTCTAAATCTGATTCATTATCACTTCAATCTTCGTAGCTGTTTTCATCAATGGTATTTAAGATATTTTCTTTCAAAATGAAGAGGAATTTAACTTGATCAGATAATGTTGACGATTTATGACATATTATGTTATATTCGTAATTATAAAAATAAATTATAATAATTATAAGCTTACTCTCAATTTCCAAAATTGGACAAATCAAAACAATTTAACAATGGTGGGCTGACTTTATTTTTCCTTTTAAAAAGAAACTATATATGAATAATGAACCATAAACGTGCCCCATGCATATTTATACAAGCTTGAGTAACACGGCGCATATTTCAGGGCAGGTTCACATCGATAGGATAATTTCGAAAACAATTGGTTCTTATCCAAGTAGAATTGAAATTCAAAAAGAAAAAAATTATGTTAAGTTATTATGATAACGTCATACCAGCTACTATACTAGTAGTTACTTCAAACATTCATTGATACACATGATATGCATCGTATATTTTTGAATCCTTGCTTACAAAAATTTTTTCATGTTAGTATGTTACTGAGGAATATTTTACTACCAGAGATCAAGTACATGTTACAAGAGATTAAGAGGGTAGTAGATTTTTACGTAGTAAAACCAAAAATGTAATTGGTATGAATCCAGTTTATGGTGATACAAACACGATTTTTATGCATTGTTGTAACACGTCTATTATAAAAGTATTATGCACGGAACTCTTTTTTCATATCCAAAAGCAAGACTATATGTATTATGTGTTACTAATCTGTCACCAGCGATTTCTTTATCCTGGGCTGTGGATGGAATAAATATTATAATGATCGCGGTCTCTGCAAACAACCACAGAGAGATACCAACCAGAAAAACAGTAAAAATTCATGTTTCCATTGTGGTCATGAATTCACCAATTGTAAAAATAAAAAGTTGATAGGTAATTTAGAAGTTATTAATGGCAACCGTGTTCCCGTCTTAGATGAATTTAATATGTTTAATATAATATGAAACCCGATACTCACATACCCCCTGAATGAATTTCAACTGAATTTTTTTTTTTTTTATTTAAAATATAATTACAATCTATACAACAATTTAGTACAATAAGTAATTTAGATAAAGTATTTACATAATATGTATTTAAATTTTAATTTTATGATGGTAAAGCACAAAATCTTAATATGATAACGAAATATTTTCATGGAGTAAATAATTTTAGTAGGTAACGAATTTTATTCTCCTTCATCCCCTCAATATAATTCCCTCTCACTCACTCCATTTCGACGCCACCCCGCGTGGCCTAGGAGGTGAGGAAAACGCAGTCCATTAGTTTATAGGCCTATGCATACAACACGCTTACAGTAAGTAAGTGTTTCTCTGTTTTGCACTGTCTGAGAATGTGGTTGTCATGTGCTGATAATTTAAACTGTTAATAAAAGTTGCTAAAAAAAACATGTGTTATACGAGTACCTATGTGTTATTGAGTCATTTTCCATCCGTTTCAATGTGAGAAGACGTATACTAGCGACAAAATAGTACAATTATAATTTATAACAATATAATGTCGCGTTTGATTGTCTAACCTTGTTTCTGATTTTGAATTTAGCGATGGCAACCATTACAGTCGACACGATGACCCGTGGGGCCCGAGGAGAGACCCGCTACCGGTCGTCGTGCCCGTGACGCTCATCTACACTCTGATATTTGCCACGGGGATTGTGGGCAACGTGAGCACGTGTATAGTGATCGCCCGAAACAAGTACATGCACACGGCCACCAATTACTATCTGTTCAGTCTTGCCGTGTCCGACCTGCTGCTGCTGTTGACCGGATTGCCGCAGGAGATTTATCAAACATGGTCCAGGTATGATAACCACCGCGGTCCAGACGCGCATTTTCGTATTGGCGGGAAAAAAATATTTTTTCTGAATATTATATATAATAATTAATTAATATACTGTGCTAAACCATAACCACTACTATGGCTGCAGCTATGATAATTATAGGGTATCAATGTTATGATGTAAAGCCAGGTACTATATAGGTAGCCGCCGCACAGCATAGTAATAATGATAATAATATATTAATATAATATTATTATAAAAGCGTGAACGTAGTACACTAGTACCTATTATAAATTATAATACCCTGCTAGTCCATACAGATATTATGGTAAGTTTACCTATCATTAATTGCAGACAAAGCCACACACACTCGCCGACCATTTCGTTGTTCGCGGACGGCAGTTGTTTCCTCACATTGTATAATAGTATGATATGAGTACTACCATTATACATATAGAGGTAGAATGTACTTAGGAGGATTTTATCATTAGCTCGACTAGTTGGTTGAAAATACCCTCCCCTCACCTATTTTTCGACCATATTATTATTACCTATCTTGTTGAGTACCTCGTAGTATTTGACGCGCGTTTCCCGGAATCCGCGTGTACCTAACAATTATTGCTCCAGCGATTACGTCGGTCGTCTACATGTAGTTGAGTGTTTACTTCGTCCTCCAGAGCGATATGGTTATTTTAATCGCTACATAGTACATACCCACTTATTATTATTATTTAGTTTATTTTGGATGATGAATATAATAGGCACAATAATCAAATGCACAAATATTGTATACCTGTAGCAATGAATAATATTTAATATTCATTCGAATTTACATACGAAATAATATTAGGATATGAATTCCACGCATTATTTTCGTTTATAAATAAGAAAAATAATTACTAAAATTATACATAATATTATAATAACATTAATAACTAAATAAGTGTATATTATATGAATAATGTAAATAATATAATGTTATAATAGTTATATAGTATAAACATAAACAATCCATAGGCGGAAACCATTAAAATTTCCGGGGGGGCTAACATTTTAGCATTAATGTGAGCGGGGGGGGGGGGGTCTTTGATCCTAAAATACTAAAAACGGAAGGGGCTTGACGGATCTTTGGGGGCCAGCTAAGCCCCCCCCAACCACTGATTTTCGCCACTGAAACAATCGTTACGGCGTTGACGATGATTTCCTGGGAAAAACTACAGTTACTTTTCTAAAAATAAACAAAAATAAATTCCTTATACACCGTTAAAAAAAAGACGTTTAACTGAACAAAAGCATAATATTAAAATCAAAACAGTGCGTCTAAAACTGATTGGACTAGTTAAGATACACAATATACCATTTGTCGACTACCTACGTCATGTCAGCCATGGTCCCGCGGGGACCGCTGGAACCATTCAACGTTGTCAACTACCTATCGACCATGGCCTTGACGTGATGGTGATATACATAATATAGATAGGTAGAGATAAATATATCATATTATCAATTATTATTATTATAATAGTAGAGTGAACATTATAAACAAATGTGCAATTGCACAAAATATCATTGTCATATTTAATAATTATACTGCACAAATAAAATTATTATTTACATTAATTCTAGTTATTGCTCTAAGCGATTTTTTCACAAATAAGACTTATCTTCTAAACCGTTTAACCTACAATAATGTGTACAACATTGTACATGTTATTTTTGTTACCCATAAACATAAAACCTGCAGAGTGTAGATATGTACCTAACCTAACCTACACATAAATTAGTGATTATAACTACATGTTTCTCAAAATAACAATAACTCGAACCTAACAAACTCGGAGCTACTGAGCAAACCAATCAAACCCAACCAAAAATACTTTTATTTAAAAAAAAAAAGTTGTACAATTTAATTTAAACTTGATGTAATTTCTTTAATGTAAATATACTAATGGCCAAGTTCCCAATGTATTTTTAAGATCGATAAAAACATTTTTTTTTTAAAAACGTTGCAGTGCGTAGTACCTACGTATAAATTATAGTGAGTGAGTCTTATTTACGAGTAGTTTTCAATTAGTAATACAGTATACTTCATGTAATATTTTTAAAACGTTACACAGCCCATTTACAAGAATAATAATATTTATTCATTGTGTTTGCTATAGTAAAATATTATTTTGAGTCCACCATTTCACATTTGTAGGTGGAGCTAAAATTATTTTTCGATTTATCGCTGAACACGTCAGTTTTGACTCATACGTTCAATAAATATTAACAACAATAAAACGGTCGAATAATTATATTTATGTTCTAATGACTAAAATGTATACTTCTCCTAGACAGTGTGAAACATATATAAATGTATACTTCACTTAAATTAATATTGCTACGCTTTTCTCAGAATCTAAAATGGAAAATAATAATAATACATATTTTGGCATCTTTGATTTATAAATCAAATCATGTAAGTACTTAAACGTCTTAAACATTAGCCAAAATAACTACCAATAGGAATGCTTTTTCATTCAAAATGTTATATTGTTTATCTTGTTTTAATATTATTACGTAATTATTATTTAAATTAATATTGTATTTTATAATATTATACCATATTAATTAAAATAGTAAAATTAATAATTAAAAAATTAAAAAATTAAAATAATGTATATAAATGACACATGTATAGGATAAAACAATGTAGACTGTACATACTTTCGTGGTTAGGTCATTGGTTTAAAATTATTATTAGTTTTTATATGTCTGTACACAAAGGCCCTGTTGTTTCACAATAATATTATTATACAACAAAACTCGTTACTTTCAATTTCGGAGCGCATGTCCCAATAGACTTTCTCGCCTTTTATTTTGCCCCACACGCATTAATTTTATATATATACCTGTTATTCTTTTCTTTTTTTTTTTAACAATTAAACAAACTTATTTTGTTGTTTTATTAATATTTCTAAAAATGTTCAACAATGTTCCGAACACTTTGTCCCGAAAATACATAAAAACGTCAAATACTACAAAGACGTCTAATGATGTTTTTTGACACATTACTGGCCGAATTTGTCTGTCATTATTTATGTTATTCGTGACAACGACAAGTAATATTATTTTTCCGATCGAAATACACTATACAATAATTCCAGTGAATATATCGGTTATACCTAATGACTGAATGGCTATTACCGATGTGGATATACAAAAAACTGTCGATTTTCTGAAATAAATTAATAAATACCGTTAAAATGTATTAATAAATTATTAAAATTATTAAAAAAATCAAAATCTCAAAAATCTATAAATATGCAATATTACAATTTGCATTATGTTCAAAAATGGTTCTATTTAAACGAGAATAAGCGAAATCGTGGAAAAATCTAACATTCAATCAATTTGGACTTAAGGAAAAAACACGCAAATGGATATAAATCCTAGCCCTAGTTATTAGTATTACAATACCAATTATCGATTACAACATTATGAATGAACTTTATCTCCAGTCTCCAGTCAACCTCGGTGGCCGGTGGGTCGTAAAATGAGAAAATCACCGTACAAATAATGCTTGTAGTAGATGCTGATCAGTCCCTATAATATATTTTGTCTTTTTCTCTTCATTTTAAATAACTGGTTAATTGTTTCTGCCGCCAAACCTAAATTGGTTGATGGATTTAGAGAACATTATATTACATATTGAACCCCCTACCCCCCCCCCCGTGTCTACGGCCCTGATATACATGCTGTATGACACCTAAACTTTAAGCTGAATTGCTATTAAAAAAATAATGAAAAACTAGTATAAACAATTAACATCTATTTCGCTTCATATTATGCGTGACAAGACTATGTACAAATAATTAAATAGTGTCAAATGAAATCATATTTTTTTTTAACAAAATTAAGCCTACAACAATGATGCATGAGGCATAGCACAAGCTTAAAATTCCGTTAATATAATTTTCAAACAAATATAAAATTATCGTATTTTTAGAAAAATATTTTCGTTTATTTTGAATTTAATATAATAATATTTAAAAAGTATTTAAAGTTTATGAGTAGGTGCATTTGATTTAATTAAAATTATAAAACATTCTGAGATGATAAATTTTCCGTAGGGAATGCTCGGAGAATAACAAATAATAATTGTATATTATAAAGAATAAAGAATAAGGATATAATGGTTACAAAATAATATTATGATAATAAAACATTCTCGTTCTTGACCGAGAAAAACTTATAAAACAGTGCCTCGGGGACACATTGCATTGTTAATTCGAATAACTGCAAATCGTCTGATATAAACTTAAATGAATCACATACTGGCGTTGAGCAACTTTGACATTTTAAAAATATATAATTAATGTGGGATGTGTGTGGGTGTTGGTATGTGTTCTCCAATGATGTGTATACAAAGAAGACATCTGATAAGATTACATCCTTTTCAGGTGTAAAATAAAAACCAACATTTGACATTCTGTAGACTATAATAGGTATAGTGGATTTAGGACACAAAAAATGGAGTAATTTATGCTAATTGAGAGCTATATAGATCGGATGAAGAGGTATTATGTCTTACAAACAACAGATGATAAGAAAAAGATTACCCACGCGTAAAGGCACAAAGACGATTCTTTTTATAATAACATTTAGGAAAACAAAAGGTTATTTACCATGCCTTTATCGTGAAAATTTTCAAATTGAATAATAATTAAAACACAAACCTTAAATTAAATACAAATTTCTATTTGTTTTATTATTTAAAAAATTGAATAGTATCCAAATAAAGTAATTTATTATTGGTTAAATATTTTTATATAGGTACCTACGTCAAAAAATGGTTGTGTGGGTATGTAAATTATATTTCAAAGGCAACCCATCAAATTTAATATAACTTATAGTTTTACCTAGAGAATGTTAAAATTGTTTTAACATTTTTTTTTTTTTATATTATTATTAATATTTTTTTTAAATATTTTTGAGCTCAATTCACAAAAGAATTAATTAGTTTTTTTGTAACTATATATATTATATAAATATACACATTTTTGACGCTTGAATTTTAATTAAAATATATAGCTAACTACGTTAACCTTTACTATTATTTATTTATTACATAAATCAGTATCGTATACAATCCAAAAGATTAAATATCACTAACATTATTATAATATGAGAGGGTTTGAATCAATTAATTTGATTTTGAATTATAAGTATAAAAACTTAATAATGTCTTTTAAAACCAACCTGGCAATGTTGCAATATTTTAAAAACTTTAGAGTGTATTGGGGTTCAAAAACGAGTGATAAAAATATTATACGTTTTCCAAAAACCAAGTTTAAATTAATATTTTATACTCGTTAGGTACCTACCACAGGATAATAAATATTTATAAAATGTTATACTGACGGTCTCATGCGAAGGATATTAAACAACACTCGAAAAAACTAGAAAACAATCGAGAAATAGATTTATTGCCATTCGTATACGCTACAAGCGATAATTATGATTATGATATAAAATATTAAAATATACCAGATTTATTCGAATTTTTACTGCCATTTAAGAAGGTTGATCGTATTTTTATTACACGGTCATTAATATATTATTTAGGATAGTTCTTGCGTATTGTATGGTATTTCAAATGATTAAATGGCTGATATGTATATAACCTTGTAAAGTAAAACGTCCTTCCATGCATCGTTACATAATATTATCTGTTGAGCTCTTTTCATAAACGTAAATTAATAATGTAGGTACCTATACATAAATATTTATTTTATTATAATTTATAATATTATATAGAATCAATTATGTGGACGGATGTTATATAAAGGTACATACAATACAAACATGAGTGTGTCGATTTAAATTTAATTTTGGTCGGTTGGAAGAACCGTGGTGTGCAATTAATGTACAATATTACCAATTTAATATAATATTGGTAATGTGGAAGTTTCCAATATCGATTATTCATGAGTTGAATTTTCCAAGCCCTAAAACGGCTGTAAAAAATTCGTAAATTATTATAATTTTTTTTTCAAATATTCTATTTAGAAATTTGGAAAATATAGACAACTACTACATTTTGAAAAGTGTCTTGGCAATAAATGAAATATTTAAATTTACTTATAGACTATAGTGAAATATTAATAATTTATTGATGTAGTATAACGCTTTACAACGCTCAGCATTAAAAGAACTCTTCGTTTTTTTTACTTAAGTTTATTATACTAAGGTAGATATGTACCTATATTAAAATCATTATCACAACTAACGATTATCTTGAGGCATTTGATTTGTAGGAATTGTAAATTATTATATAGTCTCTACTTGTTATAATAAAAATAATGTACCTATTATGATATGAAAGGATAAAATAATTTATTATTAAAATTATTAAAAAATATGTATATACATATTACATACGTTTCTAACACAATAATAATATTACAATCTTTATTGCATAATTATTACAATAAGCTAATTTGATAAATTGTGGAAATGCATTATAATTATTATTTTCTGGTATTTTTAGATATCCATATGTGTTTGGAGAGATGTTTTGCATAATCAGAGGGTTTGCAGCAGAGACGTCGACGAATGCTACTGTATTGACAATTACAGCGTTTACCATTGAAAGATATGTTGCAATTTGTCATCCGTTTATATCACACACAGAATCCAGTCTTCCGAGAGCATTTAAATACATTTTAATCATTTGGGTCATAGCGTTGACACTTGCTTTTCCTCAGGTAAATGTTTTAACAAGCTTAAAAATTAAATAGTATAATAACTCCGCGGTATATTGTAAAAGCGATTTTAACTTATTAAGTTATATAGATATTTATCGACGAAAATAATAATTTGAAAACACAAAAATATTCCAAAAAACTAATCGGCCAAAAAAATGATTGTTGAAAAAACTAAATTATCATAAACAATTAGGTACCTACATATTTAATAGGTGCATAGGAACATTATATTTGTATAAAATTACATTGTTTTACTGAATAATTGTTGTATCTAGAGTATAGGTAGCCAGTGGGTAAAAATGCTAAATTAATAAGTATATTTTCGTACATAGTATTATATATTTAATATTAACATAATATAGGTTTATGCATTTTACAAAAATATTTCAAGTACATACATATTTAATTCAAAAATGGTTTTCAGGAGTTCTATACCATATAAGTTTTCTCATACATATAAGTAATAATTATAGTCAGAAGTAGGTAGTAATATTATAAGTTTGGGATTTTAGTATAATATTGGTAATATGTCTAGTTTACCTAATGAGAATATACGAAAATAACACAAATTTTAAACTATTAAAAATAATCATGTGTATATTTTATTCACTGCAACCTTGGCATAAAAAAGGTTCATTACATAACACATCATTTTTATATGTATACATAGGTACCTATAATATTAATTTTAGAAGTTGGTTAGAACATAACACATAATCCATTTTCGAGGAAATGTCTTATTACTTTCAGTGATAAAAAACAAATAATAATATACACATTCTCACAAGTTATATTATGTGGACCGTTATAATAAATTGTATTTCATTCGAAGAGTAATTTTTTTCTTTTACAATAAAAGCTCCAAGGCTTATACCCAAACGCTTGGGCAGACTCGAGGCTACATTTCATGTAAAACTTCCATTCGTCTGTGTTCTTACTGATCTTATAATATTACATTGTTTTGCCATAGGCAATTGAAAGTTTGGTGGCCATTGGTTTCAAATGAAATACAAAGGTATACAAAGTTTCCGATTTGTCGAGTTTGTTTTGTTGCTAAATCAAAAGACATTTAAAGATATTTACGCATTATACCTATTCACAAATGTCAATATTAGATCACTACGTGCAAATCGAACAACGACAATAACCCGGTCGGAAGTTGGAATTTTGTACCGATATTATATTATTCTTTATTGACATGGAGAGGAGAAAAGTAATGAACCGTAATTTTATAAAATTATACGAACTGAATGTATACTTCTTCCAAGGCTAGGTTAGGCTAGGTTAGAATGCCTTTAATTGCATCTGGACCCATGACCAGATCTAGGGTGGTGAAACTGGAGACTCGTCCCTGGGCATAAATCGTGTACATTTAAGTATTTTCTCTTACAGCGTACACATTAACGACAGATCCGCTAAACAAAAACAAAGTATGTTTTATCATTTTCATAATAAAAAAAAAGCAAGAACGAGTTTCACATAGATTTTAACTTAAAATACTTGATCAAAACAACATTTTCTACATTTTCTACAGAAATAAAAAGGAACTTTATGTCTGGTCAATATTATATAACTATATAATAAAACGTGTACTACATTTTCTGATATTAATCTATAACAATTTTATTAGTTAGAACTGCTAAAAATTCAAACATTTTTCGAAATCACTAAAATTGCCCAACAATTATGACGACCTACGCTTATTTAAATACTTTTTGTGCAACAAATTGTTTATTTTATAAGATAATCTTCAATATTAAAATATCAAGTGCACTGTTTTATTATATTTTACTATATAATAAATAGGTTTTTTTTTCTACACTTCAAATATTAATATTATTTTATAGCAATAATTTTTATAATAATCAGTAAATATCTTTAAAATATACAGTTGGGTCTTGCTAACTTGAATTTTTTCTCACCCCTTGGAGTGTTTTTAAGTTATGTTTGAGGTACATATAAGTCGGAAAATACACAAATCGAATTTATTTTCGAATAATCTCCCTTTTTAAGGGGTATCTAATAATTAATATTATAATGAAATATATAAGTTACATATCTGCAGTTAACTTAACAAAAATGGGTGAATTTTAGTATACAATCCCGGTTGTTAAGATCCCGGCCCTGTACAGACCTTTTTGTGTCATTGTTATTTTTGAAGTTGTCTTAACTGTATTTGTCGATGTTGTGGTTTGATCAACGTCAGCAAACATTGACAGTTCGATATATGAGTCATATAAATACGTAGCTGACGACAGATAGAATATCATAACGTAATAGAATATCGTTGACACGACAAAAAAAATAATCGAAATCTATAAAATTCACCTTCCGTTTTTGGTAAATATAACGAATAATGACATCATACTTGTAGAAATGCGTGTACTTGCCAAAATGCGAGTAAATATTCTTTCGGTTTTCATTTTTTTTCTTTTTATTTTATCATATTAATATAACACCGTAATATCCATAAATGCTTGCACACGACTTAAAATTATCTAGATTTATTCATTTTATTTTTGATTACACAATATAGTAACCGGATGACACAAGATCATAACGAGCTGTTCAAATTATCAACATAATTTGCGATTCGTCCTGTTCATATTTTTCTCTGTTCAACGAATCTGTGCCAGTGGTCGCACATTACTAATCGAGATGTAACCGTAGTCACGGACGTGTCAAAAAAATTACTTTCCTGACGTTTTTCTTTTTGCCCTAATTTTGTTTAATTTGGACGTCTCGAAATAAGTTTGTTTTTACTTATTTGAACAGATAAAGTTCTTATTACAACAAAGTACGCGACGCAGAATTTTAAAACTCGATAAACATTCATAATATTATTATACACTTCATTACCACATATTATACTTCCTTCGATTTAATAACATTTGTATTGTATGGCCATAATATTTTATCATCACATGACAAAATTACGTTTTAAATCGTTAAATAGGAAACTGACATAAACTTTGAAAACAATAAAGTTATTTATAATATTCTCTATTTGTCATCACAAAGAAACAATAAAATTATTGAAATTATTTTAATATTTTACCTATTGAATTCAATCATTTCTTAAAGTATTACTTACCATGACAAACGATGTCAGTTATTATACAGAAGTTGATGTTTCAGTTTCACCCGTGTGTGTTTTATTCGACATAATAAAATACATATTATTAGTAGGTATGTATAACTAAAAAACTGCTATATTATCTCACATAATTTGTAAACCTCACATTTGTAAATCTTTCCCTATATATTATATATGTATTTAAAAAATAAATTAAGAAAATCGATAATATGTCCATGGTTTGACACTTATAAATTGTTTCTTTAAATATTTAAGAGAAATGAAATGTTTTTTTCAATCAATTCCATCCAAAGTGTTTATTATACCAAACTGTATCTATTTAGAACAAAAACTATTCAATACAATAATTGATATGTCTATTATTTCAATGGATCGAACAAAAATAATGAAAATAAAATATGACAGTTGTTTAGTTTTGTTTATAGTAGTTAAAATAAAAGTCTGAATTAACCAACATAAAGAAGCAATGATCTGTATTTTATGATAAACTGTTTTCGGTTTATTTAACGTTTTAGAACTAAAACTATCTGCTTTTTCTAAATGCGAACCGCATTTAGAACCATAAATTACAGCGATGGTCTTAACTTTGTTCCTAATTTTATCAACAGAATCTGATTGTTTCATTAAGCCAAGGCATGAACCTTTTAAAACTTTAACAATTTATGCACTGACACAATAATGTTTCCAGACTTATCATTTCATTATACGATGAAAAATCTCCATCGAGCAGTGACACCAAATCGAAACATTGTGCATTTCCACGCACACGATTTTATATTCGACATGTTCGACCTAACGCTATTACATTATAATAGCCTTAAAATCAATATAATATGCAAGCAAATCACAGTCGAATATTTCTTGTTGTTAATTTTAACGATGCTAAAGGTTAGATAGCAACGTTCTTATAGCCTTTGAAGTGACACCAGATTTCGACCTGCGAATAATTTTATAAGGGTCACTTACATATGTAGATTTTAATTTTGAACCTTTTTGTAGGGTATGGAAACATATACCTACTTACATTATACATGTATATATTTTTAAACACCAGCCAATACAGCGATCTATTTTAAATGTATTCTAACTTAATTTGCATTATAATTGTTGTAAAATATTATACTTACTAAAGAGTAGGTTGGTATATTTTACTCGTGTAGGTCAGCTTAAATTAACTCGATTTCATAAAATGCCACTGGAAAGTGTTAATATTATAATATTGAATCACATATTATAGGTACACTGAATTTGGGAAAGTCTGAACTAGAGTAGTTACCTACCATGTTACGTCTGTGTAATAAAATCGACCACATCATTGCTGTCACATTATAATATATCATATAAAATATCATGTATATAATATTATATAGGTATGTATTATATTATTGTTATAAACAATATAAACATTGGAGCCTGTACAATTAAGACATATTCCTCTCTGCCTCAGTACCTACATACTATGTAAATTACGTGCACATTGTATTTCAAACCGATTTTCGATACCGGTTTTGAATACCGGTTTAAACCGTTAAAAACTGAAACCGAAATCGAAACCGAAACCGAAATCGGAAAAAAATAATACCGGTATCCAAAACCAAAACCGAAATCGGAAAAAATCGATACCGGTATCTGAAACCGAAACCGAAAACGGAAAAAATCAATACCGGTTTCCAAAACCGAAACCGAAATCGGAAAAAATAAATACCGGTATCCGAAACCGAAACCGAAATCGGAAAACATAAATACCGATATCCAAAACCGAAACCGAAATCGGAAAACATAAATACCGATATCTAAAACCGAAATCGAAATCGAAAAAATAATACCGTTTTTTGAAACTTAAGACGAAATCTTAAGAAATAACATGATATCCGAAACGGAAGTCGAAAAATTATAACATTAA